TGTGGCACAACGTTTTCATGCATACGATGGCTGATGCGTGTGCTGTGTACATTAGACCACACCTCCTTTCTCCTCAACCTAAACTGCAGAATTACCATAAGGAGTATTTTCTATACTCATGAATAAAGCATATTATTCACTGGAATACGTTTGATTTTTTTATTGTGCACTGAAAAACGCAATATTCACATATTCGTTAGTTTCCCAATAGATTATTCAATATGCTGGTGTTGTGGCAGTTGCCGAATTTTTGTAATTGCATCATTGTAAAGGGTTTAGCGAGTTATGAGGCGGAGCGTTTCACCTGATTACTGTAACGCTAAACATCCGAGCAGTAAGCAAGTGAAATTCACTTCTCGGTTCGCAAGCAACGATGTGTAGCACACGTTCGTATCGTTGCGACTTCTTCATCGTGGTAACCGTCGTCACTTGTCGTGCATTTTGAGTTTATTAAGAACACCTAGGATCAGTAACTCTCCATATGCTGTTTTATTCATATCATTGCATTTGTTGTCACTATTGCGATTGTTTTGTTTTATAATAGAATAATTGAAAACTACACATATAACACAGTAAATATGTGGAAGACAAAAACGTTTCCGATCAAGTCAAATGAATATGCCGTGCTTATGAAAGGTTGAATAATATTGCAAGTAAGTGCGAATTTTTCCATAGTTTTCAAACCTTTCAGATCGGTAATAAAAACGGTAAAAACGAAACAGTCACTGTCCAAAAAAAATTAATAAATCGACGACGACGAAACTTGTGAGTGCTTTGGCAATTTATTGGTCAGCTGAAGATTAATCGAACAATTTGCTCGTGGTCTTCTAGTGCACATGGTCCGGAATAGTGGGCCACTTTTTGATAGCGCAAAATTATTTGCGCATGGTCGATCGGTCTATCCGAAAAAGATCTACTTTTCAGAAATTCTGCCATTATGCTCAAAAAATAGAATCACTCAACGTCGACAACGACCTGCAGGTGAACGTTGCACCATAAAATTTTGTATTTTTCTTTCAATTCAACACCTTCTCCTCCCACCCGCCTCATGCTTGCCATACCTCCTTTCAATGAATACATCAATGAATAGTTTCTGGTCGGAAGAGTATTCTGCAAATACTGACTTAAAAGAGTCTCGACGGTAACAGAAAAGGAAAATCAAAAGCCAATTTTAAAATTTAAGGATCGTCATGTACACAAGAGCTGCAAGCGCTGTTCAGTTGTTTGAAAAAATGGGAATTCGATGACAAGCCATGTGTAAAGCAACATCAAATCTACATGCAATGTGTTAATGAAACCGAGGCACTTGCTTTGCAATACAAACGTGCCGCTGAAAAAGTCAGTTTATTTGCTGCCGTATACCTTGGTTCCATTTCTATTCCGAAAACGAAAATCCACCCTAACAATCTTTTCATTTCATTTCCTCCATGCTTCCTTCCTCGAAAAAAAGCACTATTTGTTGCCCTAAGTAAGAGAAATATAAAAAGATCGATAAACATCCTCAGAACAGCTGAGAAGCAAATTATTCAGCAAAAGCGATTAAAAAAGACAACGCCGAAGAAGTATGTTTAGTTTTCATTTGATGAATGTTACAATTTGATGAACTTGGTATGGAAACAATTGCAGTCACAGTAAGAAGAATGATGGTAGTAGAAAATACAAGCAACGGAAGTGAGTGATGAAGTAAATAAATATTGCAGTATAACTGCTGCACCAACAACGGTTACAAAATAAAACCCTTGCCCCCAAAATCTCTGTTCTCAATGCTTGCTCATTATGAGACTTTTCCTTTTTCCAACCATTTGTAATCAAAAACGAGCTGTGCTGCGATAAGATTTTAATTCATCAATATTGGCACATTCGTATTAATAATATTCCGTAGTAAACATCACACCGTTCTGCAGGATTTGCCTCAGCACAGCTCGTTTTCGATTGCAAACGATTCGCAAGAGTAACATTAATGGAAGTAGTGCGGTTAGAGTTTTTGACTGCTGAGGTTTTGTGTGATTAGAGGTTCCGGATGCAGAGGTTTTGTGCCGTCATGAACAACAACAATTCTAAGTGAAGGATACTGATCCGTAATAAAGTTCATTGTCATAGTAACAACAGGCAAACTTATCACAACATTGCAGTGATAGTAATGAACAGTCGAAAACAAATAATCAACAATAGTAATTTAAGATATTTCAATTCCAAATGAATGATACTCATGTCCGTTCTGTTCTTTAAGTGTTTCTCAATCTGGAATTCAGCAATACATTCAGTGTATTTAAGCAATATTACATCATAGCACTCAAAGTATGAATGACGTTTAAAAATCGAAAGACCTAACTTCGTAGATGAACTCACGTCCAGAATGGGTTTTGGATTGCATGCAAGAGAAGAATGAGGATGGGATTTCCGAACTTATTAATAGAGAAATGTTTTTAGTCAGTAATAATACAAAACTTGAGGAATATTCAGTGAATGGGAAAGAAGTGTCTTGACAGAAGTTGAAATGAACAATACGAGAATTTTCAGGGAAGCCTAGGTGAAGAAAGTGCGAATGAAGTGAAGAGTTCTGGGGGAGGTTCGTTGCCATCAAGCGCTCAACTGAACCGAATAATGACTTTGTTTCCACAACCAGACCTCGGTCAGTCGCCGTATCGACAAATGAAACGTATGCCTTCGCAGTCGTATGCGGACGATATTTTTCATCGAAAACATGTTCGTGGCAAGAAAAGTTAGATGAAGGTTCAATCAAACGTATTTCATTATAGATCAGCTAAATTAGGCCAGTTGAAACCAATGGCGTACACAAGCGAGGGGAGGTGGGGAAAGCGGTCAAGAGAACAGAACAGACACCCACTTCTGTCAGAAGTTATTCGTATGGCGAATCAGTGTTTTCGTCAAGTATAACTCTGTTGTGTTTATGTATTTCTTTCACTTGCTCTGATTAATGTTCTCTTGATGGCATCTGAATGAATTTTATGTCGCTTGCTTGTATACGCCACCATTTTTACGCCTGGTTACTGCTTGAACATACAGTAACAGCAGTACCAACAACAGAAATAGCGTAATGAAAAAGCATCAAGTTATTCACATGAGGAAACTTAATAGGATGAGTAGTCAACTTGGAAAATGTTTTATCTTAAAACGATGCACAATGCAACGAAACGTCTGTTGTTGTTGTCGTTATTATCATTGCACTTTTCTTGTATGTTTGTAATCGCTTCATTTGACGCATAAATAATTTCATCTATTTGTTTGTTTACACTCGCAAACAATTATCATAGATGACTGCATCGTACTGCTTACATGCTAATTATATAAATTCACTGCATCCATTTTATACAAATAAGTATGGACACATAACTCCAACGTATCGATTTCCAGTATTCTGTAAGCATATATTTATGTTCGTCCATCAAAGAATATTCCTCTAAATAATGCTACTATAACAAATGTTATCCTGTCGTGTGTATGTGTACGTCTGAAGCTTGGAGCAGCATATGCTGGTGTCAGTGATGCTAAATGCGCTCAGAAAGAGAGCACACCAAAATCATCCATTCACAGCCAAACCATGCAACGCAGTAGTCAGTGAGCGAAAAGGCTTGAAATTTTGCTGTGAAAGAACTGAGTGAAGAAGCACAACGTAGAGCACTCACTATCTCTGTGCGTTGCCATATAACCGATCCAGTAGTGTGTAATGAGCAACGTCACCTGAGTCAGTTACAGTCTCAATCAAGTAATCAGTCAAGCATATGATTCTTGTTCGCAGACCTAACGGCAATCCAAAAATTGTTGCTTATTCCAAATTATTGTTCAGAACTATCCTCAAACATTTCCTAACGAATTTCGTCACGTTCTCAATTGTTCTTCAAGCATTCTTCATCGACTGCACACAAGCGTTACACTGCTTCAAATGCTCATCAACATCAAGCAATTCCACATGCTTCACACATCCCGCACAACAACAATCGCAATTATGTGACTATTCTGCACATTGTCAGGTTTCTTTTCACATTAGTACTCTTCAAATTACACCATTGCTCAACGAGAATAACAAAGAATCTTTTTGAGGTATGGAAGTTGTATTCAGAAATAAACGGTCAAATTTATATTTTTGAAAGAGGTTGCTCATGGACGTGCGCACATGGATGTGTCACGCTAGCTGATATGGAAAATCGTTTTGTTAGGTTCGTTCGTTACTAATAAAAGCCTGTTTTCGAATGATTATTCACATCATAATAATGATTATTTTATTAGTATTACTATCAGCATTATTTCTTAGGTGAATATTGTCATTTCTATCATCTTTATCACGAAAAAATGTCACGTTAACACTAGCACATCTGTAATAATAACATTAACCCATTTAAAGTGTCAAACGCTGGAACAGAAAGATACTCATATTATCTTTATAATGAAAATTGCAGTTGTTCGTCGTGCTGTGAAACGGATAACTGCAATAAAGACAATAAAGGCGTATCTTTGTCAAGATTATATTTGTTACGATCACCGACATCTATCAACATTATTCATTTCTACTCAGTCTTTTCACTTCAGTTTGTCTTATTACTCTTCTTAACTTTAGATATATATTAAATAAATTACAACAAAACGATCCTCTTTAAAACTTTTATTTCAATTCCTAACATTTCATCCTTATGCAACAACCATTCATTATTCGTCTTGAATACAACTTCCATGCCCAACTTGTTTGGTGGTTTATTCGCCTCCTTTCTCAACGATAGTAGGTTACAACAACAATAATAATAACATTAATATTAATAATAAAAATTAGCATAAGATAACAAACGATGGCTGCAATAAAACAGAAAAAATGCTATGATTCCAAAAAATTAAATTTAAAAAAAGGCAAAAGCCATGCCGACACAAATACGACTGACTATTATCAAAACAAATGAAGTCAAGACCCGATTCGCTGAGGGAATGAACAATAAATTGCAATTCCACTTGTCATTTGTTCTCAAACAGAAAATGACAGATGACAAGCGCAATATTTGTCAATAGAAAACAAATAAAAATTGAAAACAACAAACAAAACGAATTGTTTACGTTGTTTGCACAACACAATACGTACATGCAACAAAGCCCAACTTGGAAGAGCACCGATCCACTTGCAGTTGCTCTGTTATTCGTGCTTCTTAGATGTACTACTTCCTCCTTTTACTCCACTTTTTTTGACCGTACTCAATAACTCATTCGTATTCAAGAACACATTCGGAATATTCGATCCGTAATAGATTTTATTATTCGCACCAATCGCTTCAATTCTTCTCAACTCCAAAAACTCGCTGAAATTACACTAACAATTACAATAAACTATTTTTTTAAAATCAGCACTGAATGAATGCTAAATTCGCTGAGTCACGTGGTCATATTCATTTTACGGTTGATGAAGCTATTAACGAAAACTTAATTGTACTATTGAAATGATGGATCATAAAAAAATGGCCATCAATAATTTTCTTACGGAGTCAACAGCAATGCGTTTCCTTCAGCCTGTTTCTTTTTCGTATAATACTCGGCATCTGCTCTTGCTAATTCTCGTGCCAAATGACTTTCATCTGTATCATTTAATTAATCGGTGCTGTTTCATTGATTAACACAAGTATTATTGGCAACAGACAATGATAACGAATTATCAAAACTGATCAATGAAAGCGACTTGAAAAATAATGAAGTAAACGGCAATGAACAACCAACCTTCCAGTTGCGAGATACGCTTCTGTGCTTCTTTTTCGGCAATATGCTGCTCATAGTGGATGGCAGCTACCTGCGCTGCCTTTTCGGCTTCTGAAAGCGTTCCAACACAATCAAAGCATTATCATTTTCGAGTTCCAAACCTTGGAAACTGATTTGAAGTCTAACTGGCGTATTCTTCAGTCCCTAATCTTCATATTCAAACGAAAATAAGAACAGTAAAAGTCCAAACATCTTTCATATTGATAAGGAACATAATGATGAGTGATGAAGAACATCGTCAGACAGGGACACAACTTTTGTGATGCAACACTAAAACAGTAGATAAGAGGAGATGAGCGCAACCTCAAACAAAACAGCAAAAGGATTAAATGTCGATTCGGATGCAGAAGAGCTGTCAAATACACACTATTATATATGATGAAGAGCACATATATACCAAAATAAATGAATGATGAAGCAAATAATTATTTAAGTGACCAACGAATCAAACAATCAATATTCATCGCCGAATTGAATGAAACTAACCAATAACAGCTTTTTTACGCTCTGTTTCAGCCTCTTTCTCAACGACACGTTGATGTTGAATTGCAACGAGAAGTTTCGTTTTTTCAGCTTCCCTGAATGTAATTAATACCAGTAATAATAGAGGAGAATATTACTGTTAAAGATCATACTCAACAGCTCGTTATCCAAAACCTTAACGCCGATAATGTCAAATGTTTGACCAAAACGAAAAATACAACAACAATAGTTAAGTTGGCTTTGAACAGGCTGAAGTTTCTAGAATGAACAAAAATAGCTATATCTGAGTGCTTTGTCAAGATAATTTTTGAATATTATTTGAATAATAAATAGGATAATTTTTGAACGTTATTTGAATAATAAATGTCAGTGAGTAATCAACAATAAAAATGTCAGTTCTATGTAACATTGTCTCGATGTTTTTGAACTTCTTTTACGAATTTAGTCGACCCGATAAAAATTTCAATGGACGAAAGTTCCCAAAGGAAAGTATTCACAGTTAATATGAGGTTCGTTAATTTGTTCACATTCAACGCTGATGAAATGATAATGGTGAGAACTGTCGACTGATGAAACTCTGCTCGCTTCCGATAATAATAGCGATGATAACAACAATAATGAACCGAAGCAATGCACAAACATTTGTTCATAATTCTGACGAATTGATTCAGGTATTTTTGGCTTCGTAACACGCACGGCTTGTACAAAAAGACCAGGCGCCATCACTGTCAAATCTTCTTGAAGCGCTGTCTTTAGATTTTCATCGATTTGATCTCAAATTCCATCCATTTAAATTTTATTCAAATGAGCAACTGCCAAAAATTATCATCGCACCATTATTAATATTACAGTAATTAATCTCTAGACAATATTCTTATGTAAGTTCCGTCATCAACATACTAATGAACAATACGATAATAATTATTTTCATAAATGCAAAAAGGATAACAAACCAAATAAATCGATATAAACTTCTTGTAGCGTATGACTACTACAGAACTGATTCACTTCATGATGAACCTTATTGAATATCAACGGCTTATCATAGTCAACCGTATAATTCTTCACGATATCATACACTGCAATTGAACCTGCATAAGATAATCGAATTCGCATTGGCGTAATCGAGTACTGTTTCAAATGTGAATAATAGCAACAATCAACGAGGAAATGAAATAAATAAACTAAGAATTATTCTCAAAATTCTAAATAAAGCCACAAAAAATTTTCGGCAAAGGAGATGAACATAGATTATGTATAACGAATAATAGATGAATATTTGCAAGAAATAAAGCAAATTAAGAACTAACCGCTCGCTGACGACAGAATGTTGACTACTTCAATACGATCGAAGTAAATCATTACACCTCCACTGCAAAAAAAGAACGAATACGTATCAACTGGGTACGAATACGGCACTATTAGAATCATTCCGATACCACTCATATTCTTTTTCTATTATAACCATTGCCACATATCCAACCTTATTAGTGATACAACAGACAATATCAACAATCAACAAATAACCTCGTGCCACATGGCACATTTTTCGCTTCGTCGGTTTGTAGTGTAACTTGAACTGACTTGTATGTGGTAAAAAACGGGAACATCAGGTGATAACCCGGTTGACTAACACGACTCAGTAATGCACCGCCCTGAATGAAGTAATTTAATACGACATGATATAATTTGATTGAATGAAAGAAGGAATCAATCCCGTAACATTACTTCAGTGAATGTCTTTCTCACCTGATCTCGCAGCACTAAAGGAGATCCGAAAAGCGAAGAACAGATAAACATGAGACATGTGATGAAAGGATCACACACATAAGAGATGTGAAACCATGAGGATGGTTAATAAGAAGGCAGCAATTAAATCGAGCACAATGCTTACTCTATAATAGACTCCAACGTGTCCTTCTTCAATATGGTGTAGCGACCAGGCCATTATTAACGCAAAAACAACGGTTAAAGTGGTTAAAACGTACGGTGATAGCATCTCATACGCTGTCCTTTCCAATAATTACTGAAATGCGTAAATATCTCGTTTCCAATGGGACTGTGAAATTACCGATCTCGAACAAGAATTACCAGGTCAGGTTAAGACTCAGCAAATTTTTGACCTGGAAAATTTTGGCCAGGCTCGGCAAGTGCTGGTTTGGCCCAGCAAATCTCGGCCCGGCCCACTGGCCCAGGACCGGCAAACCCATACTACATTTCTGAATAACTTGAGAAAAAGAACTTGTTAAAACTGATCTCTCAGAACTATTTCTTCCATTCAAGCACTCAGCACTTCATACGTGACGAACATGTCGTTGTTACGCAACGATGTCATGACGGGTTGTAAACGCTTTAAAATACTACACAAAAAGATTATTTCTACTCATTCAACTACAACTATTTCAAGCCATTCTTCGAGCTCAACAAGTGCTACGTTCACTTAACACCTAACCTAGCATGCTTCCACTCCCTCATCTATCAACTTCCAACAAAAAAAAGTAACCAAAAAACCCTGTGAACCAATATTAAACTATCTTGACCATACACCCTTTCTATTGGGTGTCAGCATGGCCCAAGACGACTAGTTGTTTAGCCCCGCCCCTCTGAGCCAGCGCTATGCGATTGATTCAAAATAGTGTGAAGAAAAGACCGGTAACGGGACTTAATCTAGTGTTTGCATTAAGGGATATGGATCTTTCAAGTCTGATTGATCCAGAGATGTGTGTCTTGAAAGATCTCGGGAATTTATGAAACACAACATTTTGTCTATTTTTGGTAGTTACTCATTTTGAATGGCATTCCGTTCCCAGCTCATTCATATTTGTTGTTTACCACCCAAGTGCGAATGAACGTAGAAATAATTGCATATGCGCGCCACCTCGGATTTTGTTCGTCAGAAGGAGTGAATAAAGTCTCAAAATGTCATTCACCAATGTTGCCTTATGGTCGCTTTGCATTACCGGAATTATGCCTGCATTGAGAAACGGTCGGGATCTTTACAAAACCAACCCAATCCCTCGTTGTAAGTTTGGCCGAACTTCTGAAACTAAAACATCTACAGAATCTTTCTTTCAAAACAAAATTTGCAGAGAATCTTTCCTCCGTGAACTTTCGAAACTGACATTCCAACTATACGTTTCTCCAAATTCCTTTTTCTTCCTTAATTTCTGGAATTAAAATATCCAAGAAATCATTGTGTCAAAATGTACGGAAACAAAATTCCCGAAAGATCTTTCTTCTGAAAAGTTCAACGTCTATTATTATATAACACAACGAATAGTTCTACTCTAGCAACGGCATAAGCTCAAAACAGATAAAACGTATATCTTCGATTTTCTGTGCAACAGTTCCATCATACCGTAGTCGCACCTTATATAAGCAAGTGTCGCTAAATTTTATGAATGTATTCTCACTTCGAACAGGTGATCTCGAAAAAAAAAGAAAGTTTACGACGATCTTCAAACTGAAAACAACGTTTCTGATAGAACTTTTCATACGCCCCAAACTTTATCGTATTGCATTTGATTTATCGTAAGATTTGCTTTCGAATACTTCGATCGTTTGACGATGCTCTTTCTCTGTCTTCATGCTGCTTTGGTTCACGCCCATTGCATAGTTACGACAACGCCCGTTTTGTTGGAGCGTAATGCCAATTATCGTGAATTATTTCATTCATTAGTTGGTGTTGTTGTTGTTGTAATGAATAATTATTTTATTGTTAGCTGTTCATAGGGCGTGTGTATTGTCAGATGTTTGCATTGAGCTTATCATATGAAGTTTACTTTTGATTCATGTAAGGATTATTATTTGTTGTTGCAGATTGAAACAGCTGTTGGGTAGAAATCGATTGAATTGGTTTTGTTGTGTTGCGCGTGTTTGTTAATTAATTTTTATATTTTGTTGGCCACTTCACTTGTACGCGATGAGTGGAGGCGTTAAAGGTTGGTTCAATTTATTGTTCTTTAGTTGCATTTTACAGTTTGATCTGCATGGAATCGGAAGAAATAAACAACTGGACTTTTGCTGATAACGGGCGCCACTGCGCATATGTGCTTAGATTACCGCTTTGCTCTATGTGTGGATATGCAATTCGAAGTCAAATCAGGAGTGTGCTTAAGTTTAGACTTACGCTTAGCCCAGTGACGAGGCTAACGCATAGGCTCGACTTATATATGAACGTATGAATTCACGAGCATCTGTGATGGCGCGGTGGCGCCCGTTATCAGGAAATGTACTTAAACAAGAACCCCTTCTGCTGACGTTGTGTATCTTGCTGAGACTAGACATTTCATGTGGGAAGTAAGAAAAAATGCTGACGGCGAATTTTCGTCGAATAATTCTATACCAAATCAAGAGAGACTGAACAGTTGCCGGTTCCGACCCACGAGGTTAGATCAAGCCAGGATTTACCGGGCCGAAACAAGATTTGCTAAGCCTAAGCCTGAGACTTTCCAGGCCAGGCTAAGACCAGGCAAAATTTTGGCCCGCCTCGGCAAATTTTGGCTTTTCTTGGCAGGTCTTGGCCCGACTCGGCGACCCAGTCTGGGTATTTGCACACTTCCGATTAAGCTCGAACTTAAATGAATTTTTCTTGTGTAAATTTGTAATTTCACATATATGTTGTGAGAAAATATTTCTTTTTTCGTCAAAAACTTTACGTATATGCAGCCATCCATCGACTCTTTATTCGTTCTTCAGAAAGGCGGAAATAATTTCAGCAGTTGTATCACTCGCGTTTGCCGGCGTTGTTGGTCTTACGTTACTCGTACTGGGATGTGCCCTGCCAATGTTTGGGTAAATTTTTGTACATGTTTTCATTCTTGCATTTTATTTTGCCATTTTTCATTCAACTCTAAGGCAATCAAAATTTTTGCGTTCAGCTGAAAGAAGAAATTCGAGGAAACGGACGATAATTTCAAATGTAATTCAAATCGAAAGCTGTTGAATTTAGTTGTTGGAAAATCATTTGCTGTTGCTTGTTATTGCAGAAATTGGTGGCCAATGTTTGTGGTGGTGTTTTATATTTTATCACCGATTCCACTGGTAATCGCACAGAGATATCGTGAAGATATGAGCGGTACATCGGCTTGCGTTGAATTTGCGTTATTCGCCACCACTGGTATCGTTGTGTCGGCATTCGCGCTTCCAATGGTTTTGGCTCATGCAGATGTGGTTTGTTTATTTTTGATCGTTATGATTCATTGTTGTTTTTATAGTTTATGGATAATTTGTGAGCGCAAATGAGATCAAGTTTGCTTGCAAGCCTTATCAACTGTGATATTACCAGTAAATTTAAAGTGTAGCGAATTTGTTATTTTCTATTCGAATTGCATGCTTGTTGCTGCGATTTTGAACGATTTTTTAAAGATTAGTTCAACTTTAATTTCAAATTATTTGAACATACATTTGGAAACATGCTCAATGATTTTGTAGTATAATCGGTTACGATGCATGTTTATATCTATCTTCAACTTCTTTTGAATATTTATTCCCTGATTCGGTGCTGATCAATCAATGAGTAATCATTAGTTGAACAAAATCAGTTTGTTTATGTATTTTGAAAAGCTGATGCAGTCCATTACCTTTGTTGCTGACGTTGTCCTTTAAAAAATTGTGATCGTGGCGAATGATTGCCTTGAAGGTAGTGATAAAATGGCGATGATAATAATAATATTAATGTGTTCATAGTAATACCATTTAGGTTATTATTATTATTATTATTATTATTGTCATTATTATCATTAATACTATTATTATTATTATCATTGTTATTATCGTTATTAGGTGTTGTTTGGTGAACGCTTGATTGTGATTGCAGATCAGATGGCTGGCATGTTTTAGTGTGAATCTTGGCTCTGTGGTGATGTTTTTAACAATTCTAAGTTATTTCTATTTGCATGCGGATGAAGATGGAACTTTTGCTCAACCGTTGTTTTAAAAATATTAGAATTAATGATAATGATAATAATGGATAAGAAATATGTATTATTATCTATTATTATGATTATTATTTATATGCATATACATTTAACTATTATTCTCATCTTCACTAACAGTGTGAAAAATGAAGCGAACGAACACCTCCGTGATGATGCCTTCTGAATTTTGTGCGTTTGTTTTGATGTTTGTTTAGTTGGTTACTTTGTTTTCTCTTGGTGTTTCTTAAAACGTTTCGTTGCTCTCTTCTACGTTGTTGCTTTTCAGCCGATCGAAAAGTAATTTGTTAATGTGATCGTTATTAATGATATTATTATTAATCATTCAGCACTTTTAATTTCAGATCTCCTCCGTATCATATTTCTTTGTGTTTTTGGCCAATATTGTCTGTTTTGGTGCTGTACTAGCGTATTTCAAAGTGTTCAACGAAGAAGAAATGAATGAAATGTCTTTGTGGTGATTGGTTGATTTATTATTATTATTATCATTATTATCGTTACCATGTTGTATTGTTCGCTATTATTATATTCATAATGCTTTCTTCGTTTGTTGATAAGCTGTTGAACGTATCATTACGGATTGATCATGCTGATTAAGCTTTTTCATATTCACTGTTATCACTATCCGTATTATCATTGTAATTATTCATATTATTATTATTACCATCTCATTGCGATCAATTTCAACTGTTCACTGATTGATTCGTCTTTTGTTTTATTTTTATTTTCAAATTGATTTTGTTTTATGAATTGTAATCGGTTTTGTTAAGTTTTATAAGTTTTCTGACTGTTCGATCTTAAAAAAATTGAAATGCTTTTATCAATTTGATTATTTCATCAAAAATTAAATTATGTTATCCTTTCGCCAGAAACATTCTTCGTTTATATGTGTGCGATAATGCTTGTCAATTTTGCTTGTGAACGAAAAATACACATTCTTTTTGAATGATTAATGACCAAATGTGTGAAAATTTCACCCTGATAACGAACAGTTTTTTGTACTTATGTAATTGGTTTCGGTGAATTCGTTATTTTCTTCAGTGACATAACGCATGAATTTTCTGATGAAACTGAATCAGTGAGAGGAATTCAAAAAGCGTCGATGATTCCTGAAAGTCGTCAAGTTTCACTTCGGTTTCACGTCAGAAGAAGAGAAAATCCGAATAATGTAGAATTTGCAAAGTGTTCATTTGATGAGGTTGAGTGAACGAACTTAGATATTTTGCACGAGCATCACTCATAACCGGTTCTAGGCAATTTTACATTACAATGTAAAATGTTCAAGAAAAACCAACTCAAAACATTCTCAGTCATAATTCCACGCCTTGATTTTAGTCATTAAAGGCGTTTTTTTCGACGACTTTATTAATTTCTATAATCGATACAGTAACTGAAAATATTACTGACCAAACAAGAATATATTGCCGATAGGCTGCTTTCCTTCTATCGTCATAGACTTTTCTGGTTTTCAGTTCTTGTATTCGCTTGAAACTTTCATTCTAATTGAAATGTGCTTATCGATTACTGGTTATTTTACGGATTTCAAGGTTTCGTTTCATTGGGTTGCATTTTGATTAGCATAAAGTTATGAGCATGTTATCATAGTGTTATCGTGTCACATGCATTTTAATCTCGTAACGATAGTGCTAAAAATATTCTAAGTTGAAAGTTGAACTCGTGAAGTGTTCACGGATATTCTCAGCGCAGAATCTAAGGGCAAAGTGCGCTATGTGTCTGTTACAGTAGTAGTAGCTTGCGGACCGTTGTCACCTTTGAAGCACACTTATAACGTACAAATACTTATAACTGTTGAGAGATCGAAAGGGAATAGCCGTTATGTGGTAAATTTGAAATTCTTTGGTACCGTTATTGACATGAATTATTTCAGTTTCGTTTTTGAAAGCCTAAAAGAAAACAAAGCAAAATCGTTCTTCTTCGATTGACCAATCGAACAAATGAACACATTTCTGTTTGGTCGTGAACTGCAACGAATTATTGCCATTGGTCTTCTTCCACTGATCGTTTATAGTAATGGGCAGTTGATTGTACTGCCAACAAATCTGGAATTTTTTAGAACGACTGACTTATTATCAATTGCTGACACGATGCACAGGTTAGAGACGAACATTGCCAACGTGATGACTGACTTTTGAATATCTAAGCACACATAGTAGTAGGTTGTTTTGTTGTGAAATGTTTTGTTCTGGTTGAAATTTTGCGTATGAATTTTGCATATTTCTACTGATATTCGGGGTAATTTTAGAATTAAAGATGATTTCATCTCTCTTGGGCAGCAATTATTCTCGACTGGAAAGGAAGGATTGCATCGTATCGTCGAGAATGTTCAACACAATTTCGCACGTCTAGCGCATAGCTCAGTGCACACATCCAACGCTTTTTCGGATCGAGTAAGTTCTAGTCGGTAGATTTATTCGATTCAGGATAGGGGTTATTCAATCTTCCTACACGAAATCTCCGTTCATTTTTGAAAGTCTGCTTTAACGATGCTCATGAGGGGATTCCACCTCAGAGGTGAAAAGAGGAATATGAGAGTGTTGGAAAGAAGTTATGGAGAACCACTGATTTCTCCAAAAAATGGGCGTCAGCTTACGACATAACACTGCAATCCGCATCACAAGAATCGAGAGGGTTTGCCAACGATAATCTAAAGAGGTGAATGGATTCAAAGAAATATGCCTGCCTGATCCAAACAAATTTCCAGAGCATACTGAAATTGGTCCCATCGCATCTTCGAGCCACTCACTTCAGGCAACCGTTGCCTACGCCAACACCTCATATCAGACGTCACCAGAACCACCGTTTGTAGCCAAAAATAATCGATCAGCCAAGTACACCTTCCGAGTGTATTCAAATGAAACCGATCACGAGTACTGAAAGATCGGTCTATCCCAATGATCATCATATTCAGCTATTTCTTTCATAATAGAGCAACCGTGCACTATAGATGAGTAATTTTTTCCGTTGTTTAAGCATGTATTATTATGAAAAGATATTGCTATGTAATGTGACGCAAGATAATGTAATGTATCACGATAAACTGTATCAGATGACGATGAGGTTTGTGTCGAAGTAGTACGATATGAATTCATTCTGTTCTGGAAAGCTGAACTGATCTCAAGCCCATGTTTCTAGACTGAAGAAATCAGATGAGTATGGATGTATTTACAAAAGTTATACTTGAATGAATTGATGTTATGATGATGTAATGAACAGTGGTGAAGAAAAGATTGAATGAGTAATATGAATTGATGATCATATTGAGGTGTTGTGTGGTTGTTTTGATCTTCCAAGATAAAATTATTATGGATACTTGAGTGTGACAAGCAGTCTCTTAGTGAACTGAAAGAAAGTGGTGGAACCGCATAGTTAAATCGCGATATTGGTATCTTTTGCTTCTTCAAATGAATCACACAGATAAATGAATTTCATTGGCGGGCCCAAACATCCTAAAGATGACAACACACGGATAATCAACGAATATTTACGTAATCGAAATGAAAAGAACTGAACGACAACTGGTATATTTGAAAAGAAATAAGCAGCATATTGAGGAAAACAGTTTCGTTTCGCCTAAGAGAACTGCACACGACTATTCGCATTTCGAAAATGTATGTTGTTGTTTGTCAATTACTATATAAGTACCATCTGTACAACCACTAGACACACTTTCCTCACTTCAAAATTCTACGTGTTAAATGATCAGTTGTGCTGACTTCAAGTATCATCCTTTCAGAATATTCACTGAAGCAACATGTTCCGATAATTAGTTACAGTTTTGATGTTGCTTGTGAAGCATCACTTATCCTACCATCCACTCACCCACCCATTCATCCATCTGGCCATCCGAATCAACCAACAATGGCTGCAATCCAGCTAGTCTATATAAACGTTGATGATTCCACGAGTTCTTCAGCAGTTTCACTTCTTATACTTCGTTCATCCAGTTGTGTGTTTATTGCTCTTGTGAGATAATTTATTTATCGTTCACTATCAAACTGTATAGTTAGGCACTGCTAAGAATATCTGATTTTACATTTTCACGAGTGGTCACTCACAGCGGCAAGTGTTCATTGGGTGTTTGGTTTGAATCATATTTGAATGTTCTTCTTGTTAAGATTCTACGGGAACGATTGATGCTTCCTCATCGTTAATCAGTATCAGTGAGAAATGAGGGAGGCTTGCTGTGAGAAATCATATCTGAATCTTCCTGTTAAGACACATTACTGTTCACCATTTAAACAAAAACAGTAATCACCAAAAACGAGGAAAATTGTCAAAAGTAAATATTCGGTTGGAATTCGATCGAATTTCGGTCCATGACTATCTTTAGTTGGTTGAAAGTTTTAATTAAAAAAAAATTGATGTAAAATGTTTTCATTTATATATTTCAAAGATTGGACTAGAGAAAAGAAAACGAAGCAATGATGTCGTCGATAGTGATAGCGTTATGCTTCATCGCAATCCTGTCATCTTCCACTTGTGCACGAGCACAAAAATTTGACTTTTCGGACCTACTCGGTGACGAAGATGATACAGGTGGTCCTTCATCAATCAAGTGAGCATTGCTTATTCTTTGTATCCTTCCTAAATCTGGTAGCAACGAGCTCGTAAATATACTGAGCTTGACACGAACATGCTGGTCGTGCAGTAAAGCATAGAGCGAATCTGATCAGTTCAATCGTTGACAGTACTTTCAATCAAAATCGCTTGTAATTTTTTAGATGTTTAACGAGCGATAAATTGCAAATGTTAATGATTATCTTCCATTCAGTTACCAGCAATAATTGCAGCGAATGGTAATCGTTGTTTGTTTATTTTATACGCTAGCAATTTTTTACAGCATGAATGGACAAGCGATGGATATTTTAAAATCGCTTCAACTCGGTGATCTCGAAAAAGATATCAGCGAAACAAATTGGGGCATCCGACGTAACGCCGCTCAGTTAGTTAAACAACAGGTATGAATGAAGAACATGTACTCAAGATGTATTTATGTCAACATCAAATAACTGTTTTTCATTTTTCTGCTCGTCTTCCTTATGAGGCCTCTGACAACTGGAATTGCGATGCTTTCATAGAATGTCACACGGCCATCAATTTGTGTTTTCCTCAATTTTACAAATTCGCTTCTTAAACGGTCGAAATTTATATTTTCTGAATGAAAATTTACGATAACCAATTGATTTTTTTTTTCGGAACATTTTCTGAAATTTCAAGTATTTTAATGTTAAAAAGCATGGATAAGAACAAGAATTCTCCAGAAAACACAAATGAATATAATGTAATTGCAGATGAGACAAATGCGACGTAAAGCATCGTCATCGGATATGATGGGTAACGAAATGAGTGAGCTGATGATGCCAAGGGGTAGAAAGATGAATTTGGCGTTGAGGGAAGAAGGAGAACGTGGTTGTAATTTGGAATCGATGGACTTCTCGGGGCTGATGGCGTCTAGTTCACTGAAACTGAAACGAGCGATGGCCACACGTCTTCTGCGAGCTGCAAGTCAGCTGCTTAAATCATCTGCTGGTGGAGCCGAAGTTGACCTAACCTCAGCACTATCACCATCATCCTCCAGACTGTTTATGAGACGGAATTGACGCGATTCTCAACGATGCGCCATTCTGAAGCATAACAACGATAGTTTCCTCTCATAACACCAATGATTATTCTCACTTTTCTCCTTTATCTATCAGAATTTGATTGCAATATTCTTCCTTGTATGAATGCCAATATTATTGCTAATTCAGTAACCACGTCGTGAATAATTCAGTAAAATTTTAAATGATTTTTCTTTGGTGCGTTTTCAACTATTCATCGGATTATGCAACCAGCTGAACATCGAGTAAACTGAATACACAAATCAGTTTTGGTATTTATAAATGTATGTTGTTCAAAAGTTTGATTGATAGTGATGCACAAATAAGAGAATAAATTCATCAGTGTACTTCTTGGAAGAAGCACTGAAGAAACACACTTCTGTAGTCACCGACGTGTGTTCTTTTCTAGTCGTCATCTATACACAGTCGATGAATTCCATCCGAAATTGATTATCATTGTTGCTATTATTGTTGTGGCTTGAGGTTGAACGAATCATTTCCTGTTGCCAAACGTTGACAATAATAATTTATTGAATAGCCATGTCAGTCAGCTTAGAAATAATAGCATCTAACTGGCTTGGCTGCTATTATATGCTTGTTTTTGTTCGAATATGGCAATCATAGTACTCGTTTAGATCGAATGCTATTCATTCTGCCTGCTAATATGCAGTGTTACTTCAATACCTTCAATTACAGCCACTCAGTCAAATCCAAATGTCTGGTTTACTGCTTATCTCTCTTTCCTTGCACAAAAAATCACTGAAATAATCTCGTTGATTTTTTTCACTGCCGACCGAATTATCATCGTTTTTGTCACGAGTAACTACACAGTTAAAATAAGCTTTCAAATTATAGCCCAAGAAAAGAGTTTCGTTTGTGACCATCTTACTGCTAACAGTGCGACAAAATATGTCATACCACAACTGTTTCATTTTTTCGAATATCTTTCTCGTCTCAACGTCGAAAGTTCAAAGTTCAAGCGAGTAATTATCATCACCTTATTTGTGTTAGAAATGAGTTCGTTAAACCTAATCATTCGTTATTTGTCACGTTCAAATGTAATCGCGTTCAACGTTATCAACGTCTAATTATATCAAGCAATCACGAAACTCAATGTACTGCTTCAGTTTTGAAGCAACTGTCGCTGAATGTGTGCTATGTTGTTTTATTCATTGTGGTTCCCTTTAGCGCAACTATTTTCAGTTGTATCCCATAATTCGATTACATGCTTTTAGTTAATCATTAATTATTTTATAGTTAATCAATCATCATTGTTTATACTTCAATTATTTTTTATTTTGTTATTATTCGTTACCTATTGTTTGTTTGTTGTTAATTCATTCAACTTACGAACTCTTTGCTTATACAAGACCCTATCATAGTGCATTTGTTAAACGAATCGTTGATTTATCTCGAGCCAGATTCGATTTCCACGAAAGTTGTAACTAGTAACGTTTGCATTATTTCAGTTGATTGATCACACTTTCATTTTGCAGTTGACATTCTCAAATTGTTCAATTGAATGAATGTTGCATTACGAAATTTCTGATATCAAGATAGTTGTTGTTGTTGTGCTTATTTACGATTGCTGCTTATATTTTATGACTGCGATATTATATATTATGTAATTGAAAAGCAATCAATGCGTAAGTTCAATTTATAATTTTCTTATAGAGCGTGAAGTATTCAATTGAAAACCTGCTTCACTCATTCGTCCTATTATCTTATTCATCAATCCAACCAATCATCATCCACTCGTCACTGACTGCAGCACCGAATTTTTTCTGTCCAGCAAGCTAGTAGTATGTGTACTTGAAATTTAACTACTCGTAGAACTTATTAGCGAGTTAAAGAATGGACGAACGAATGGATTCAGGATGGTAATTGATATCGCCTCAAGGTAGCAGAAATAGTTGGATCAAATGTTTAGTTGCATCGCTGTTTTATTGGATAACCGATTGAGAAATCTATTGATTCTGGCATAGAGACGAGCCAAAATGCTAGAGAGACAATGGATAATTCGACGAAATATTAGTGGTTATGAAACGAAACATGATATCAGATTAGAATGAATCTCTCTAGACTTTATAGATGAAGAACTTGTGAATGAAGAAGACGAAACAGTGATAAAATGATACAGACTATGATAAGATGTGAGTGACAATAAATGACAAGAACAATGACCACATCAAAACAAACTGTTACTTTGGAAAGAAACAGAACAAAACGGTGCCTCTATTGATGTTGATGCTGGCATTCTTCATGACTGGCTAGCGTGTATGCAACAGGCTAAAGTTAATTGTTGATATGGAGTTGACGATGCGACAATGATAGAGGAGCAAGAAGAGTAGATTTACACGAAAACAACGATGGAAAGGAACCAAATGGAAAAATGTTTGCAGTAAAAGAATGAAGAAAAGTAGTAGTAATAGTAATATAGCAGCAACAGAGGAAAGCTCGCCCACAAAGTGAATTCTGTTGGAAAAATACAAGTATATGTACGCATGAATAAAGCTCGAATGTGGTGATGAATCAAGAACGGGGAAATGGATAGGGCTTAGCACTAACAACAATGCCACCACCAATAACAACGGAACAAGTATACGTATAAATAAGTATGAAAGTGAATAGCAGCTGAAAAAGCATCAGTACAACACCACTAACAGAAATCAAGATGTTGATTGTGTGACATGACATGTAGCATGGAGGATACTCGTTTATTTATCTATCTACATTTCCATCTATCCATGTTTTATCCAGTTGATAGAATATAACCAACAGCCTTATATTATTTACATATGTATATTTTCTCCATTTATTCATCCTTATATCCATCCGAATATATGCATCTATCTGTCTCATCCATAGAACATTAAAATGAATGAATTCTCAAAGATGACCAGAAAGAACAATGAAAAATGTGATAGGTTCGTTTGCTTGTGTTCTAGATTTACAACCTTAAATCATTGCCATCATCTGTCATCACCATCATCTTATTCATCTATTTATATGGTACCATCTACATATATCCATTATATCCGAATATTACTCATATTACATCTATTGTCTTTCAGCATCAATTCCAGCTAATCGTCCATCTTCATCTGCAAATATTCATCCATCTATTCTGCATTTGTCTTCCATTGAAAGCTAATCATGAAAGTGTTTATTAAATTCTGCACCTTCAGCTTTTTATAATCAACAATATTATAAGTTTCAATCAACTCTCAAAGTGTGCGTGTGCGTATGTATCTCAGTCGATCTGTGTTTGTGTGTGGTACGATGCATATGAAATATAATCTATTTACGTGTTGTTTTGTCTGTTCAATTATGATTAAAATATTATTCACGGAAAAATTGCATAGCATCACTGAAATACTTATCACAAAATTTAGTACTAGACGATTTGTTCGTTGTTGTATCTAGGGTTTGCACGGGATCCCGGGATTGCAGTTCTGATCCCGATCCCGGGATTTAAGTTTTGAAAAATCCCGGGATTTCGGAATTTGATAAAACAGGTCAATTTGTGTGAATTTTGATAGTATGCCTATCTTGAAGGAAGCCTTATCATTCCCATCTAATCTATATGCAGTTATCTTTGCTGTTTGCCACCTGTCATTGATGTTCAACTAAGGAAATAGACGCAATAGGGACGATTGACATGATCAACGACAGCTTGATGAACTTTTACGTAACATTTCATTGAATATTCAACTGATTATTCTGCTCTTCATTGGTTTATATCACCCTCATCTGGATACATTTCTATGTAATAGACTCACAGAGATAATCATATTTTCTAATAAAAACCAGCAAAGTTCAATGAAATTTTGAGTCGTTTCCTCCCAAAAGGTTTGTTCGGCTTCAATATTCCATCTGTTAATTCAACTGCATGTTCCAAACACTGCAAGTCTTTTTACTTCGCTATTTGAAAACGTTTTCATCCGATCGAAATGTACATAAATTATCACTGAGTTCACTCATAGTGAGAGTTCATTGTCGAAATGAGCAAAGTTGTTCCACTCAAAAGGATCTTATGCTTGAATATCAAGTACATTTGTATGACTTTTGATCGAAATTATCAAACATGTAAGTGCTCGATGGTTCGATGAAAATCCATTGCGGATTTTTTTTGCCTTTTTAGATAAACTTCGAACTTTTAATTATTTCAAAATTCAAATGTTACAATTCTTGTGGTGCATTTCTTCCGTAAAAAATCGAAATTTCCGAAACGGCAGAATTCAGCTGACGTTAACACTGAGAGAGAATGGACTTAAAACATTGCAAATAAGTGTTTGAGAATCAAGAATTTCAGATTCACATGCAAGTGTACTGTTATTAGCTTAGACCCGAGATGATAAGATGCTTTAGCATAGAATATGCAGTATGCCCTTGCGGCATGATCATTGGCATCATTATATGAAATACTAATTTGAATTTGAATACTTAGTTCCTTGGATTTGTTCAATAATTTGTTGATTTAGCTCCTTTCTGATTAATAATGAACATATTGGTTCGAAGAAATGTGTTTAAACGTGTCCCGCATCGATAACTCAATAATTGTTCGATCCCGGGATTAAATCTTGATCCCGGGATTGAAAAATCGTCGGGATTTTGCAAACCCTAGTTGTATCTAAAAGAATGTTGTTAGAGTTAACATCCATCATTTCATCTAACTATCATCTACTCATAAATATGGCAATATATGCTCTCATATTTGAAAATTCATTAATCCTCGCTATTCGTTTCACTCAAATTCATTCTTCCGCTCACATACAATTTTTTTCCCCAAATTAATTTTCATTCAGTGAACGTATAACGCAATAAAATGAATAATAAGCAGGCCATGATCCAAACGCCAACTCATCAGACAGTATGAATATGTAATGAAACAGTAGCGGTATGGGTAGAGCAATAACAATTTTATTGTTTCAAAAATACATCTTGCTTCGTTCGATAATATTTGAATAAGTGTATTAATTTCGAAACTAAAATGTACTATATCATATGTCATGACAATTTTATTTCTTTTTGATGAATGACGCTGATTTTTTTTCGCTTATTCTATCTGTTCATGCTGAAAAGCTCACATGTAATATGACAAAAAGTAAATCCATCGATGAGGAGCAGAGAACTCAAAATACGAGCTGGAACAACGAACCCTTATCTGAATTTATAAAGTAAATAAACATGAAACTGCTTTAAGAGGCCCAATTCAAGTGAAGAATGAGTGAGGTTCGTTCATCAGTCAATAAGTAATCATAGCCAGTCGTAATATAGTGATTCCGATGAAAGTTCACTATTCAATTATAGAACATCATCGTAAGCCACCGCATTCTTCACTATTGTTCACTGTTGAGTAGTAAGTAGCAAATGCTTGGCAGTAGGCCTCATATCACGAACAATATTCTTTATGCTTCTTCATTCTGTTGTTAATTTACATATTTATTCAATTGAGAGTGCTTCATTTAGCCCACAATCAATCTTCACAACTAACATTCACTCAGTCGTTTCCATCCTTCCACAAAAATAACTTTGTTTAATCGACTAACTCACTATTCCTGAATCAAATCTAATTTCAGTTTCACTTATGAAGAATGAATAGTGTAAGCAGAGGATATGTTTAATTTGTCGATCATCGTGTGCATCATCTCTTATGGATGATCGAGTGAATGCAGGAAATATATAAGTGAACGTTTAATTATGATGATAATAATTTTCTTGTGCAGGATGACTTTGAGATTTAAGGTTGTTGCTAAAAAGGGTTGATAAGGTGCAAAAATTGATAATATCAACACTCTTATTATAGTGATTCAAAAGAGAGGACGACAAACGAAGGAACGCATTGTAATGTGTGTTCGCTGGTGGTGAAGTTGAAATAACGATGAGAAATTCGTTGAACTGGCAAGCTGCTGCTGCTAAGCAAAAGAAGTCATAGGTCATCGAATAGCCACAGGCAGCTAACAATTTCCATGCTATCTCGATAAATATCTACAATCAATTACTTACTGCTTTCGGGATCGAGAAAGTATTCACTATGAAATTTTATTTTTCAATTTCCTTTTCTTTTGGTTAATGAAGGAAATTCCAATTTATCATACATTTAGTACTTGAACGTCATCATACATGGACAGATGAATGTATAATTATTTATGTATTTTTAGCGCTATGTTCCTATAATTGTATGATCATAAATACAACTGATATTGATGCCTGTTCATAAGTGATTATTGAATTTGATGTAGCGTTGAGCCTACCTCCTCCTCACTCTGAATAAGCGTTGAGTCTCTTTTATTAGGAGGATGAACATCGCCCGATTCGGATCAGTTGTACACAGAAACACTAAACGAATTAAGGCAATTGTATGGTGTAACAACACAATGAATTGCATTGTGCTTCTCTCGTGTCTCCTTAATTGTCTTGTAAGTCTGAAAGGAAGTATTAATGACCTTTGACCCTAAACAGCCCTCACTTCACCGCCACTCATCTATTCATTCATCCACTCATTCGTCTTTTCACACTCCTTCTAACATAACTGCTGTTTCCTCTATTCTAGTTTTTTTTGAAGAATACAAATTATCCACCACAGAGATTAATTTCCATCAGTTTCGCTTGTCCTCTCTTTCATTAACACATTTTAACATTAAGCAAGTCAGCTTTTCGTATTCCGTGTATCCACTGACTATATTCATATATATATATAAACTTATGGACGCATTACATTCTTTCTTCCTCATTGTCAGTAGAATATGGAATGAATATATTTATCGCTTTGGAACAAGGAGATGATTCAGTATGATGAGGATGAGAAAAGAAAAACGATTTTTCTGTTTTTAGTTTTGTTTGACGTGATAAATCTGAAATGTTCCGTTTTTTTTTCAGATGCGTATAATTTGGGCTAAAGTTGGTAGACCGATATCGCTGGATTGTACACTAGAAAAAATGCCAACAGATGATAATAATTTTGCACTGGAATGGCGTAAACAACGAAAGCTTGTGTTTAGCGCTTACGGAAATGCCAGTGGACATAGTGCACCTGAAATGCAAGGTATGCAATTGCAGTACTCATTTCTAATCGTATTAGTTGTTCGATTAATGCATAATATTAGCACTGAGACTTGAACATGACCATGAATAAGTCACCTTTGATATGAATCTCACCTTAAGTGGTGTCGTTTTCATTTCATTATCATCATAAACAAATCACTTGGTTGTATGCTTACATTGCTACATCTTCTTCGATCAACCATTCTAAACAACTTTCAACTAACGTTACCTATGGCAGATAGACCTTTCATAAGAGCGATACTTCATATCCATAACGCTTTTCCGAATAATCATTTTATTAGCTGCTATCTTATTTAATGAATACAGGTGAGACTAATAATACTTCTTTTTTCTCGAAGTATATTCAGCAGTAGAAAACGAATAAGAAAAACAAAAAAAGGGAACAGAAATTAAACAAAATTCATCGTCATTATACTCCAGTTGTTATCGTTCTCATCACTGTCAATATGATCCGCCAACAGATTGACCAATTATTATTACAAGTACTGTTATCAAAATCATTGGTGTTTTTATCAACATCATTATAATTATTATCAAACACAAGTAATAAATCATACAAGCCTGCAAGCGTATTCATTAATGATGTAATAGTGCGATTGAAAGAAAGGATTGAAAATTATCAAAATGTAAGTGTTGATAGCAACAATAAGTATGAGGATAATGTTGTGAAGATAACAAAAACAAATGTCGTCAAAGAAGGTACATAACAAAAAAAGAAAATCATAATAATAAACGATGTTGAGCAGAACAGCTCCAACATAGAATAATGAAATGGGTTGGTTGTTGTGTGAACGAGTGACGATACATCGTTGAATGTAACTGATAGATTCGATGTTTGAATGTTGAGAAAAGAGATCATTGGTTGAATAAGGAATAAATAATGAATGAGAAGCGATGCAGTAGATAAACAATATTAATAATAGGAATTAATCCATTTGCCGTTATCGAAAAGAAGTCTTGCCGAATGAGCGTTACCAAAGGCGTTTGATGCTACCACTACCACTTCATCAGCACCTCCGTTCACACGTTTACTTGTGCCAATCACTGAGCTCACTTCCCAATTCGACGATGAGCCACGTCGTCGCCAATAAACATGATACATATCGGCGCGTTCCGTTGAATTCCACCTCAACAAGACACTATCGCCTTGGGTCGTAGCACGAAGTGCAACCACCGTTTGTGGTCGATCATCAGCGTGTTCCATACGGCACTCGAATATTGCGAATGTGTATGCGGCACATAAATGAGGTATTTGTCTTGTAGCCGCACTGCTTGTTGAAGCATCCTCTTTCTGCCACGTCGAACCATCACATAACGGTAAACATAAAGTTGGCACTTTGTTACGCAAACAACATGCACCCTCATCAACGACAATCTCATCCACAATTGTACACGCCAGAAATTTGCTCATTTGATCATAGCAACGATTATTGATAAACGCTTCGGCACGTAACGATGCCCGTTTCCCATATTCACTACCACAAATCGCAGCACACGGTGAACGTATGCGTTGACGTTGACAACAAGCGTACAGTGATTCAGGTGGTTTCGATGCGGCCATCGTTTGCATACGTACAACTAAACGAATATCCGCACTCGAACTACCGAAATCATTAGAAGCCACACAACGATACGTTCCGAAATCATCCACTTGAAGTGGTTTGATCTGAAGCGTTGAGACGTAATGTCGAGGTTGTCTATGTGATGACACATAATTGACAAGTGAGTATCGTTCACCGTTCAAAGTCTCGAAACGACCACTGTTCTCATCAACCTTCTTCCACTCGACTCGTGCAGCACGATGAATTGTGCCTGGCATTTGCATACGACATGCTAATGTCACTGACTTGGCATGTTTTGGTATTGCAATCGTTTCACGATATGCACTCACTCGAGGTGCCACTCCGGCCGTATGAAAATGAACAGTTTCGGATGGCAACGATCGACGATGACCATCGCGAGTGACTGCAACCACGGATGCCGAATATTTGCTATCTGCACGAAGAGCTGTCAAAGTGATCTTCGTAGCACGTGTATCAAGGGTCTTTTCGATCGTTTCGCCGTCCATCTCTTTGCATATCACATGATAAGAATGGGCTAGGTTCGGGTTAACGGCTGGTGGTGACCAAGTGAGAAGTGCTGAATCTGTGCTTTCGGCGAGCACTTTTAGTTTTTGTGGCGGAGTCGGTGTATTCAAATAACCACGTTCAAAGCACTTGAACATGGGATCCAAATTAATCGCAAGACATGTTTGATATTTATCCCATGCAGCCACTGAATCAATGCCCTCACCACGACATAAGCCAAAACACGCGTTCTCATCGCGGTCTTTCGACTCTTTTAGACAACAATGCATATGGTTACGACCATCAGCAAGGCACTCCGAAATGAAATTCATGAACGGAAGACAGTTTATACGACGATCGAAAATGTTGTAAACATCGAAATCGTTGGGTGGATTTGCTGGATTACATAACATCCGATTACATATTTCTGAAACGCCACGACGTCGACAACACTCGTCAACCAATAATGATGAAGAAGAAGCTTGGATGAAGATATTTGTTGTTGTTTGGAACAAGAATGTGAATAATAATATTTGTGGTATAAGAATAACAAACCGAGTCATTGATGAGCAAATTTCATATAATTACAACGAATATTGAAAACCGTTGTTTCGTACGAAATGAAATGTGTGGTGCATGGTCGTTATTGTTTCACAATCAAATCGTCATTATTATCGTTCTTTATCATACCCTCCAATCAACCACTACCAAAACGCCCTTTCAAGGTCTTTCATCCATCCATTTGTCCACTGATTTATGTATTTCTTATTCATTACCATCTTTCGCTATTACCAGTCATGCTGAATGCTTCTCAAGTTTTGTGGATGTTTGATCCACAAATCTATCCATAATCTACTGATCTATCCATCCACTCATACATCCATGCATCCTTCCCAGTCATCGACTTCAGACCCATCAAAGAACCGCCAAACGAACGGCCTTCATTCGTCGTTATCATCATCATGATCGTCACCATTCATCTACTCACTCATCACTTCTTAAATTCATTTCCTTTCTTCTCCCGGTTACTCTTATTCTTCAACTGGCAACCAACCAGCCATCTTCTTTTTCCACTCATTTTATAATTTGCCTTCATCATCTTCTTCGCTCCATCCGTTCGTGAAACTATTTATTGGAGCTGTCGTTATGAAGATAGATACATGCTTGAAACATTCGGAAGTAATGGCATGAAGCAATCAACATATACGCCACAAGCACATCAATCAATCTAATAATTTATTTGTAGTAAAGCATAAACCGAAATAATGATTTATCCAAGAAAACAATTTTTTCTGACCAAAATGCATTTTGTTTTAATAGTTGTTCTCTGTTTTGACTATTGAAATCATATTCGATGCAGTTCGATTCATTCGTTCATTGGTTAGATGATTGTTCAGTGACCCAAATATGATATCATTCGGTGATTCAACTCGTTTGAATCAATTACTTTCGTCGCAATAATGCTGATAGTAATAACAACAATAAAAGCAATGAGAACCATGCTGAAAATAGCTAATACACATACAGGTCGACTAGCCCGAGGCACTTCACTGCAACTGATAATTCATTCTGTACAAGCCAACGATGAGTCACTGTATCAATGCTCGGTGGCTGCATTCACCCGTGGCGCCTTCTCAAGACCTCTGCTAGGTGATCCAATTAGGCTGATCGTCAATTGTAAGTTCAGCTAAGCACTTATAAGAAAACTTCATCGCATGAATGATATAAGTAATGGACAAATTGTATCCAATACAATGAAATTTACTCAACTCCTCGTATAATCTTCATGTCATCTCGAAATTTCTAGCACCACCAAAGATTCGCCGTAAGAACGTTGATAGCCATCATAACAGCAATGAGAACAAGAATGCTAGCGGTAACATTGATGCGCCACATGAAGCAATCGAAGAAGAGTATCTACCTGAAGGTGGTACTTTCCATGTTGAATGCATCGCAGATGGTGCACCAACGCCTAAAGTTAGTTGGATAAAGGTTGGTTTCATCGTTGCCGGATCAGCTAAAGTCCGAGAAGTTTCCTAAAGTCTATATTCTGTAGTCGTCACAAATAAACAATGGTTAAATTAGTTAAAAATTTTTAGGACGATAAAGTTATCAGTACCAATCGAACACTTCATATTGAGCATGTATCAGTGACCGATCGAGTGAGTCTATTTTGTATGCCTTTGTTTTGCCTTCGTAAGAGCAGTGTTAGCCATTAAATCATAACACTCTTTCATTAATTCATCCACGCTGTTCAGTTATCGTCATTGCCAACAAAATTTCTTTACTGATAGTGACCTTGGACACGGAAGCAATCTGCTGAAGCAACACAGATGCTGTGTGATAGATATAGGTGCAGTGATGATGAATTACTTGACAGTCGATGAATCTTGAGAGGATGAAATGAGTGAAGTGAAAAGGTGTGATACGTCAAATATCAAATTTGAGGGTATTTACGAATGTGTTGCTGTCAATTCAGAAGGACGCGATTCGCTCCGCAAATGGCTACGCTTTTCACGTCAGTTAAACACCAAAACTTTTTCATTATTCACTGCAACGAATCCTATCTGTGCACTAAATCGAATGAAATAAACGAAGAAAATACTGCATTTTAGGTTTTATTATGCGTAGTATTATTATTTGCAAGCATGAGTTGATAATATTAAATTGAAAGGCCAATTCAAGTACAGCCCACTTGAAAATGCTTGTACTGACATCCTTCTTGAATACTGATTGGTATTGTCCTGTTACAGGTGATGTACAAATTGATTATGCACCCTCCAATAAGACAGTCGCTGAAAATTCGAGTGTTTTTTGGCATTGCAATGCGAAGGGATATCCTAGTGATATCACTTACAGTTGGTTTCATAATGATACACCCATCAAAGCCTCTGCAGTCGGACTAAGAGCCGTAGTTCAGGTGAGTAGCAATTGCGTTCCAGATCTGCTATCAACGATCCGCCAGAATCCTGAGCTACTCGAAAAATAATTGGCCAATTCTGGAAGTTACGTGAATGAGAGAAAGTTTAGTCTTTTTTTTCGTTGATTGATTGATATGTTTGAATTTTTAAAGGGTGGTGATTTGGGAATACGGACCGTGCAACGCTCAGATGCCGGAAGATATCGTTGTGATGCGAGTAATGGACTTACGAAAGCCGTCTCTGCAACAGCTTTTCTTGATGTTCAATGTATGTGCACAATTGCTCATTACGAATATGATCAGAAGCTATCATTTGTTTAAACTATAACAATTGCTTAACTTAATCACTGATTAGTAACTCATATAATTGGGTAAGATGAATGAATATTTAGATAGTTTTTTCTTCTTATCCTTCTTCAGATATACCTCAAGCAAGTTCCACCAATTCTGAAGTGTATTTACTTGGAAAAGGTTTGGGTGGATCATTACAGTGCGATTTCGACGCGAATCCACCGATATCGTTCGTTGTTTGGACACATAATGGTGCACTGTTACCGAATGCGGATGGTACGCGATTGAATTTGGACGAAGTGAAAGATGAGCATTCAGGCATATACGCTTGTCAAGCATTTAATTCGATTGGATCAAGTCGAGCGTTCGAGATTCATGTCGCTATTGCAGGTTTTTGCTTCATTCATCTCATTTCTAGAATGTCAACATAATTCCTCTTCTGCTCATCTCATCTGAACGCATCAAAATACCTAAATTTTGCCCTGAGTTTCAGCCTAACTTCTTTGAGTAGTTTAACATCGAGGTGAAAACTGCTTCTAACAATAAGCTGTAGCGGAAGTGTTATTCGTCTGAACCGCTCACAATTATAAAAGTGCGTATAATGTTTTGTAGAACCACCACGTTTCTCATCTTCACCACCACCGGCCATTTTTGCGAAGCTCAATTCACTTGTTGAAGTGAACTGTGACGGTTACGGTGATCCACCGCCTGTTCAATATTGGCTTCGCAATCGGGTTAACAATTTCGAAATTTTTCTGTTCATTAACCATGTTTAAGTATTGTTGAAAATAATTCGCACCGATCAGAACGCAATTAATAGCCAAACGATAAGTGGAAATTTGGTTGAATTGTTACAAAAATTATTACAAAAAACGATTAATCAAAGTTACCGAAAATCAGTTAGCGATTGATGATCCGTGACAGCCAATTGATTAAGCTGTCAGTTTGTCAAGGTTTATATAAGCATGTAAGTTGGATGGTTTTCGTTGTTATTGCATAAAACGTTTTCGTTAATTGTAGTTTACCCATCTAAAGAACATTTCGACTGTTTTGAAGAGTGTGATGTTATGGTGGTACTGTATTCCTTTCAAATATTTTCGGATATTTCAGAAGAAGATCGAATCATCTAAAATTCTTTTGCATTCAGTCAGTCATAATGATTTTGGAGTATATGAATGTTTCTTATCTAATCCAGTTGCAACGATATCCACACAAATGTTCCTTTATGTACAGGTACTGATATTCATTGTTGATAGTAACGATGGTAATGATAGAACAATAATAAGTAAGAATTCGATAATAATAATAACAGAGATGGTTGTGGTATTCCAGAACAGTTTTTTTTTGTTGGATTTATTTGCTTTGTAATCATACGTAATGTTGCTGGGTAGTAATTCTAGAACACATATCCACAAGCAGTTAGTGAGTTGACAGCAAATTGTGGCATGGATAGTGAACAGGTGGAGGTGCATTGGAAGGCTGGTTACGATAGTGGTTCCGAGCAACACTTCAGATTGTTTTACAGGTTAGCGACGTTTTAGTATACTCTGTTCTACAGATATATTTGTGTGCGGTGATCATAAATGAACATCAATTTAGGAGTACCACTAAGAATTCCGAGTGATATGAATGGAATCTATGGGTGAAATATGAAATAACATGTCAAGTTTGAATAGCACATTTTTTAGGGAAGAGAACGAAAAAAATTGGCATTCAACAAATTCAACCGACCTGAATCACACGGTTGTTCACCATCTAAGTCCCTTTATACTCCATCATTTGCTTGTCGAATCAAGCAATATCTTTGGTGCTATTAATTCATCTGCAATCACTCAAACCGGTAGGTGCATTTTGAACATTGTTTTTACCTTTCTGGATGCACAGAAAAGTTTCAGTCCGAGAAAGTTAGTCATTTACGAGGATGTGAATAAATTATCATCGAATATAAATTTATGATATGCAGCGATCATCAATGCAGCATATAATCGAGCAGTTAATTTTAGTGTGTTCTCGACTGAATCCACCAAGGAATCTACGATTGAACTCGGCCAATTCTTTGGAATGGGACATGGTTGATGGCGCAATGGCATATCGAGTTCAGTATCGCAATTCAGACGATGAAATGTTCTCAGAATTGGTAAGAATATTGTTTAATTGTATTGCCCAATTGATATATTGTTTAATTGTATATGATTTAATTGATATATTGTTTAATCAGTCGTTCTCATGCTAAGAAATCTTAAGCGACCAAGGATATTTTCATCCCTAATTAACTCGAAGAAACTGCAAAGTTCAACGAAGTATTTATATTTTTAGTTAGATACGAAAGAAACGTCCGTATCGTTACACGATTACGTTGCATCAACATCATCATCAAGAATTTCGTCACCTTCTTCGAATGCACCAACCTCTAAAAGTTCTTCATCTTGGATCGATGTTCGTGTGAGTTCATTGAGACCACCGAATATCACTTCGATACCCTCCAACCCGTTCAGATTTCACGTCACAAGTTTGTTTATACATCATTTCTGAAACATTCGCACTGGAATTCGTTCAATCCATAGATTCTCTTCTAAAATTTATGTGTTTTTGTTGAATTTCAGTGAAATTATGAGGAAATTTGGAATGAAAATGGACGATTGCGTTGTTGACTTAATTTGCTGCATATCTTTATTTTAGAAGCGAACACCGGATTAACGTTGTTGATAGGTATTTTTGGGACGATTTTAATGGTTTTGTTGCTGTTGGTATTGTTATGGGCAGTTCGACGGCGCTTTGCGAAGCATCGAAATGCTCGATTGAAACGTATTAATGAACGTTACGGTGAGTAAGAGCGGTATTTGAACTTTTCGAGAAGGGTAGACTGGACCAAAATGTTTACTTCTATGGCAAAATACTCACTTATTAAAATTCACCTATTCACTTATTCACCAAAATATTCACTTATTAAAAATCTCGACAATTTATTTCATGGAATCAAAGCGCATTGTTGGCTGTCCTATCGATCACAACAATGTTGACCGATACAGTGACTTGATGGAGCCAGAGAAAATTTATTCAATTTGCTTAAAATACGTCATTTTCGATCAAAATTCTGCGGTAAAAACTCTCTGATCGATTGGAAAATATCCTTTTTTCAGGATTTCAGTCAGAAAAGCATGTGGCCGCGAAGCAAGGAAAAACATTAGCTAGGCGGTAAGTGTTTTTAGTAGCTCAGAAGAATGAAGAGGATTATCTCAAAAAATTAAACATGAAAACAGTGGTAATAACAATTTCAAAAGCTCATACCTTATAGGTCAATGAAAGCTGAACGTAAATCATAAAGAATAAAATTTTCAGTGAAAAATTGAACAAGACGAAGAAGATGGTCATTAAAGTTGATCGCACAAAGTCACCAATAAATCAGTCTATTTTCAGGTTGAACAGTCCTTGTGAATGGTCGTCATCGTCCACGACAAATTCATCGTTCATATCTTCGTTTCGCGATCGTCGAAACTCCCCTTTCTGTGAGGCTAAATTCTCGCATTTATGTGCTGCTGCCTCGTCACCGCTTCTTAACAATAGATTCACTCGACTCAGTTGCACTGTCAACCGCCACAGCAACAACAACAACAATAATAACGTATTACATAACAGTATCAGTAATAATATTACCAGTAACAATCCAAATATTACTAAGAATGATAATTTGAATATTACGAGCACAAACTATTACACAACGATACTGTCGTCGAATCGTCAACCGTCATCTGAATCCGAAGCTTCCTCAGGGACACAATCTGTTATAACGGATATGTTCCGTGAGAAGTATTTTGCTAATACAGCAAAGAAGCCCATAATAACTTCCACCGAGCGTTTTCAGTTGCTCAATAAATTGACGAGCGAACAGCTAAAAAATGATTTTGAACAATCACTTTTGTAGATTTTTAATTATAATCGAGAGTCAGGTTTTTTTCCTTTTTTCGGAACGCTGTATTGTAGATTTGTTGACTGCTCGTTGGTGAGTTTTTGTTACTGTATTCGTTGTTATTGTTATGGACATGATTATTACATCTACTGTTTGGCTTTGCTGTCTCAATTTTTGTCATTATTATTACTGTTGTCATAATTATTGTTGTGATTATTGCTGGTACTACGATCGTTGCTGTTGTTATTTACAGAGCAAGCTAATAAGCAGCCGAGAATATGATAAAAATAAAAGTACGCGTTTCGCACAAAAGGAGGAGAGTGGGATCTCCCCAACCCTAATCAACCTCGTCTGTACTGGAGATACCGGTAAAAACTAGTATGATGATCGTTGGTGTACGAAATTAAATAAAACTGCAAATTATTGGCGGATGTGAATATACAAATGAGTAGTGACTAAGTATTGAATTTAACTAAGTGGTATTGGTAGTGTTTCCACTGGCTACTGGGTGGAGTGAACTGAAGTTTCAAAGGCTGATTCTAAAGAAAGTGATGAAGTGACTTTCAGCTTGAGCAATTTACCATTACAATTGCCACCGTTCTTGTATGGTTACGCTCACGAATTTCCTCACTCAGTTTTTAGTTGATCGAAGGAAAGAAGAGCATGCGTGTTTATTCAGAAGCGCTGACTAAATACTGCTGAAGATTTAGAAACGAAGCCTGACTCATGGCTGCCGGACGGAAATGCAGAAGAATTTTTTCGAAGTTACATTCTCTCCACGGAAGGAAAAAATTGAACATGAATTAGAGACAGCAACCTTTTCCGTGCATATCATTAATTTTCAAACAATGATTCTCACTCTAGCCTGCTGATGTCACCGTAAGATTTACGTTAACATGCATTACACGTCATACTATAAATGCTCTACTCGTTGTATTGCTTTGCCATTCCTATTCTACGCTAAATGAAATGCTAAATGTCCTTCATAAATTCTATCTCCTTTTGAGAAAATCTATCACCTTATTCGAGAATTCTTGTTTTTTCTTGTCATATCGCCATGTTTTTCGAAAGAATCTAATTTATTTCTACAGATTTGTTCTACTCTGCTTAAGATATGTGTGACGGATGATCTTCCCATGAAACGTTCCTCACCTCATGATTACTCATTCCAGTTGCACTTGGCCGAATCGCCAGCAGTGTTTTGCATTAGCAAATTTTCAAAATGCCTTCTCACATCGATATTTCGAGAGGCCTTTAAATTTCAGGCTCTTATTGTTAGTCCCCAACTGCGATGTAAACAATCGCGTTAAGACTAGAACCTATATGTGCTTGAATTCACTCAGATCTATTGGCACAAAACTACAACAGTTGCCACCATGACAACCCTAAACTCATCGACCGCGACGAATACTGACAACTCGTTGATCCTTTCAGGCGATTTCGCTGTAATGTGTGGTAACACGTGGAAAAACGTTTATGCATCTGTCGCGCCACGCACCATTCATATTTTCAAGTTTATCCTCATCTCAGCAAAGTTATGACCTTACGTCCAGGCAGGAGGCTGTACCTATCAAGTGACGTTGGATTGCAACCGGGTAGTTTGTATGGGGTTCTCTAAGCACTTTGCGATTCTGTATCAATCATGGAACGCCACCAAATCATGCCTAGCAATGTTCCCCTTCATTATGCCTGGCGTGACAGTACAAAAAACACGGTAATGAACAACGAGAGGATTGACAAAGTGATGAAGGCACGAAAACACGAAATAATCACATCAACAACAA